GTTTGCATCTCATTTTCTTTTCCATCAAGGCTGTGATATAAAAAACATGAGCGACGCAGCTAAATGAGCCAGGACTCCAGGCTTGTCAAAAACTTTTTTCATGATTGACAGTTTGTTTCATTGATTGGGTCATTCCTTGAGGGTTTTGTTCACAAAAGATTTTTTTTTTTTTTAAATAGCTAGCCGACTATGTGGCTGCACTCAAAAGGGAGCAGATCATAACACAATGTACATGTGAAACAACTGAATAAGCGCTAAAACTCTTAACGCTTTTTAAATATCATTTGTCAAATATTTTCTCAAGAGAAAAAAGAAATTCACTCTGCAAAGAACACTTCTGAAACCTTTGAGATCTTTGGGATTACTGCAGCTGAGTGGTAGACACCATCACTCGGAAGCAAAGCTTGGGGGCTAAGAGCTGCACCCCTGCAGAGTTTTTCTTTCACTTCAACAATTTCTCAAATCCATGTTTCCTGGAGCAGCTTACAGCCCTATTGGTGCAATGATTATTACAGATTCAGAAACGGAGACATTTAAATCAATCTGTCATTGGGTGAATTGATGAAACTGTCAGCTCCAATCACAAAAGACTACAGCATTTGCTTCATTCTTTTTCCTCCTCTCGGCATACGTCTGTCAAGGTGCATGTGAATTAGCTCTTACATATAGCGGGCTGTGTAACAGATTCTTGTTAGGAATCCGACAAGCCTCACTTTTCAAAGAGAAAACTGTTCCACATGAGGTGCATGCCAAAGAGGTCACTGATTAAAACATACATTGTGAATGTGTTTCTTAGAAGGATGTTTTGTGCTCCAAAAGAGCAGGAAATAAGATTTATGGGTGATTGGCATTAATTGTTTGTTTATAAATGCCTCTTAAATGTCTTTTTAAATCTAGAGCGCAGTTTGCATGTTATGAACTTGATCTTACAATATTAACATTTGCTTTTGTCATGTCAGTCTAAGGACTAACAAAGACTGATGATGGATGATGTCTGTTGGGACAAAAGGGTTTCTCTGAAATCTGCAGTACCTCAGCTCACCGCTGGGCGGCAACATGTAGTCCAGTCTCTCATTGGTCACAATCACCGCACTAACCAATCACGACGTTTTTGCGTGTGGACCGTTATTTCCGGTCGGCTCCAATGCAGGAATCTTTTCCCTTTTGATACTTATTATTTATTTTAAAGAAAACTAAAAACCTCGAGGTAATTGAAGATTTTGAAAAATGAATAGAATATTCGGACGCGGAAAGCCCAAAGCGCCTCCTCCGAACCTGTCGGACTGCATTAGCACTGTGAGTATTGTCAGCATCAGAGATATTGTTGTTTATGACTGCTTTATGTGGCCAACGACGGTGTTACTTAGCTAACACGGCCACAGAAATGCTGTCAATACTGGGCTAATTACCTCACAGGTTACTGTTAATTATTCCCGCTGACATATAACACAAACAAAGCATCTGCTCTTTTACACCCGAACTGGCTGTGTCGGATATGGACGAATGGATGTGTTTGATAGCCTCAATTATTTGAAAAGCCTGTACATCACTGTTACCTCTAATGCACACACACTCACAAAGGCAGGTCATTTTAAACACAGGATGCTGGAAATCATTACCTTCAATTGATCCCATCCTCTTTTAGGTAGATGCCAGGTCAGAGTCCATTGAAAAGAAAATAGGCAGGCTCGATGCCGAGCTGCTGAAGTACAAAGATCAGCTGAAAAAGATGAGAGATGGGCCCTCAAAGGTATGGGAAGGATGTGCTGAAGTTATTCTTCTGAATGAAGGAAAACAAGTCGATTGTTGATGTTTGTATTTAATCCTGAATGCAGAATATGGTGAAGCAGAAGGCCATGAGAGTCCTAAAGCAGAAGAGAATGTGAGTATACTCAGACTGACACATTGGATCTACTTCTCTGATGCAAATGAATATTTACAACAACTTCATTGACTATATTTAAGGTTCTCAAAATGTAGTACCTGTGAATCATAGGATAGTCATAAGAAACTCTTATAATTTGTGAGGTGAAAACAAATTAAAACAAAAAGTGAGTTAGGAACAAGAGCTAGTCGCTGTTTAAAGGTGGGTTTTGACAACAGGAGGCATTATTTTTCCATTTAACCATTTCCAGGTTAAACTATCTGGTTAAAACCAAGTTACTAAGCCAGTTTGCTTCAGAAAAAGGTCCTGGTAGGTAGGTAGTAGTACTCAGGAACTCTAGGATGGAGTTCTGTGGCAGCAGACGGCCTTTAGGATTGGCCAGCTTTTCATCATTTCAACCTTCAGAATTCAGTCATTTCAGCTTAAACTTGTCTACAATTTGTGCTTTTTGTAATCTTGAGTAATGCTCAATTTTAAGTCAGACTGCTTAACCAGTAATCCCCCAAACACACCAAATAAACTGTTTACACGCATGCTGTTCTTTGCACAGATCTCCATATTCTTGTACATATTACATATTTGTACCAAAAAGAAAAACACAATTTCTACACCTGCATCTACAGGGTCTACATTTACTTTTTATTCAAGTGCTAGCACACTGCAATTTCCCCCATCGGAGGGCAATTAAAGGATTGTTTTATTTTATTATATTCCAAACAAATTATTATTATTTTTTAATTCCAAATAGGCATATAATATTATTATATTTTTCCTTAGGGCATGTTGCTCAAGCTTTAAAAATTTAACCAATTTCACATTTATTTATGCAAGTTACCCTCACTGAGATTCACAACCTCAGTTTGAAGAGGCACTTTTTAATAAATCTACACGTCAACTTATATAACACCATCGAGAAGACGAGTAGCAAAAGCAACAACAGACGTCCATTGAACCTCGTCTTTAAATTGCTGTTTAAAATGTTACATTTTCAAAGTGTTGATGTAGGGAGTTTCAGTATTTGAGAAGCTGCTTTTGCTTAAATCTGAATGTGACGGATGAAATGGATAAAAAGTCCGTAGGAGAACAAATTGCGACTGTTTGCGGGATGTAAAACTTGACAAGTAGGATGGTTACAGTACAAGTTTATTTAAATGTGAAAACATGGTCAGGTGATGGATGCAATGTCTGAAACTTTTCTACTGTTTTTTTTTCTCTCAGGTATGAAGGTCAAAGGGAGCAGCTGGCCCAGCAGTCATTCAATATGGAGCAAGCTAACTACACAATCCAGACTTTGAAGGACACAAAAACTACAGTAAGAGACTAAAATCTTGTATATATATATATATCTAAAAAAAAACAAAAAACTATCAGGATTAGGGAAGTCCAGATCTGATATTACATGAAAGGTACAATAAAAAATGAAAATATGGGCCTTGATTACACCTAAAAACATTTAATTACTACTACATTGTGTCTCACTTAACTGTTACCAATGACATAAAAGATCCTATCTCTGGTTTAATTGATCAACAGATAGTCGAACAAATCTTTAAAAGAAAAAAGGAAAAAAAAAATGTTGTCCTGCGCCATAAAGTTTGTGCTCTTGTTTTGGACGTTGTAAAATTTAACAACTGGTGTTTCAGCTGCTTTCTGCTCAGTGTAATTGCTACCTTGGTTATCATCCATGCTGCAGGATCTAAATATATTGGTTTAATTTTCTTTTGATTTTACAAATGTTAGTTTTTCATCTTTTTTTGGCAGCAGTCCTTTGGAAATTGCTCACCAAATTGCTTTAAATCCCATTGTATTTAAAACAAGTTGGGCTAGATTAAGAATTAGAGAAATATTTGGAGGTGATTTCAGTGAATGATAAAATATCAAAGAAGTGGCTCACATTGAAAACATATGAAGACATCAGAAATGAAAGTGTCTTGACAGAGAGTCACCTTTGTGACTTTAAAACACCAGAGCAGAACCTGCGGCTAAATCTTTTGTTCTACAGTCCAACGATCACAGGACACAGATTTGTCTTGACCCGTCTTCTTCTCGACAGGTCCGATTATAGTGGCAGCGACTAAATATACATTCTCCTGCCTGTTTTCTCTCCCCAGGTGGAGGCGATGAAGATCGGTGCAAAGGAAATGAAAAAAGCTTACAAGGATGTCAAGCTTGATCAGATTGATGTATGTTTGGGACACCCTCTTTTTCTCCTGTCCTTTGATTGATTCTGTTACACAGAAGGCTGCCAACTACCAGATGGAACATTATTATCTTTAATACACCAGCAAATATTTTGGGGATTTTTAGGAAGCAGTAATAAGAAAACTAGCAGGCTGGCATGGCTAAATGAACAAGAGGAAGGTCATTTTTACGTTACCACACTAAATTGTGGGTCAGCAAATTGAAAAGGAATGAAGATTTCATTCATTTCATTCAGAGCTTAACCTCTGATTCAAAATGTTTGAAAAATGTACTGTTTAATTTTATGACATTATGGGAAAACAGTGTTGATATGACAAATGAAAATACTTTGTAGGCCCTTGTTTTGCCAGTATATAATTTTACCATCCTGCTCATAAACATAACACAAGCCTGTGTTCACATCTTCACCACAAGTCTGTGTCTTTCTGCCCTACTTTTTTCTCCAAAGTGCTGTGCGCTTTTTAAAGAAAGCAACAGAGTGCTAAGAAACAGAAAACCTAGCTGGCAGAACAGATCCTGCTTGAAACAAGTTATCAGAAAGCAGATGGGAAAACACACAGCTGGAGAGCTCAGCACTTTAAAAAGATGGGAGCAGCGGTCAAAGTGGAAATTATTTTTTACAACTTTATGACTGTCATTTTTTTCTCAGAATGGTTTGAAATTATTCGCAGTACTTCTTTTTACTTCAAAACACAAAAGTGTGTTAAATGTACTTAAGAATTTCAGCAGTACGCAGTGATGCACGGAAAGTGAAGTAAAACTTTAAGAGCAGGTGAAATTTTAATGGACGGGGTGTTGCATTAAAAACAGGGATAGAGCTAATTGGAAGTCGCTTCTGTTTCTCATATAACTTTAACTTATTGTTTGTTTCATGTGAAATGTGTTTCTTCGGACTCGCAGGATTTACAAGACCAGCTGGAAGACATGATGGAGGAAGCCAGTGAGGTGCAGGAGTCCCTGAGCCGCAGCTACTGCACCCCAGACATCGACGAGGAGGATCTCGAAGCAGGTTGGGCGTAAAAACGTTAAAGGTTTTCTTCATATTTTGGGCGAATGGGTGTTTCACAATGACTGATCACAGTTAATGAGATTGAAAGCATCAACAGCAGATTTCTAATTACGTCGCAACAAGCGATGAGAGAAAATAATATCCTGCAAATCAGTCATGTCTGCCGGCCTCACTGACAGCAAAAGAAATGAGGCGCGCTAAGCGGGACAGGCTGCGTTGAAAATGAACCGGTGAAATGAATTGTGAATTGGACTGGAAATGATAATTACGGCTTTCTTAGTTTTCCAAGAATAAGCGTGGATTTGGAACTGTTTCAGAGCTGGACGCCCTGGGGGATGAGCTGCTGCTGGACGATGACACCTCCTATTTGGACGAAGCGTCGGCCGCTCCGTCTATCCCAGAAGGAATTCCCAGCGACAGCAAGACAAACAAGGTAGCGGTCCAGACATCACCGCTACCGGCAGATCCAGTGTGACGTTTAAGCCTCACAGTACAGTATCCTCTCCACTTTTTGAACCTTTCTGCTTTTTTTTTTTTTTATCACATTACAGCCACAAATTTCAATGTTACTTTAATGGATTTTATGTTTTAAACTAACACAAAGTATATGCTAAAGTGGGAGGAAAAAGATGTATGCTTTATATATATTTTTTTTCTAGTAGAAATATGAGTAAGTTTTCCCACAAATCCACACAGTGGTCTGCTTACATTATTTTGTCCAGAAATTATATTTGAGAAAAAAGGATCTCAAGGATATAAATGTAGTAGTTGAGGTGTGTACTCTTTTTTTTTTTTTTTTTTTTTTTTTTTAAATTTTTTCGGTTTGGCAAGTTGTGTTTTTTGGGCATTTTT